GAGAGAGAGAGAAGGGGAAGGAAAGAGGAGGAGAAGAGAAGAGGGAGGGAAAGAGGAGGAGAGAGAGAGAGGGGAAGGAGAAAGGGGTGGGAGAGAGAAAAGGAGGGGAGATGAGGGGAATAGAATGAAGAGAGAAGAGGGATGGGATAAGGGGGATGAGAGAGGGCTGGAGGAAGAGAGGGAGAGGGAGAGAGGGAGGAAAGAGGAGGGGAGAAGGAGAGAAAGACAGAAATGAGGAAAAGGTGAAAGCGGGTGGGAGGGGAGGGAGAGAAGGAGAGAGTAAGAAAAAGGAGAGAGAAGGAATAGGAAAAACAAGAAAGAGGAAGGGGGCGAGATAGAAGAAAGAAGCGAGAGGGCGAGATGAGGGAGAGAGGAGAGAGGGAAGAGGGAGTGAGAGAGAGAGGAGAGAGGGGGGAGAGAAGAAGAAGAGGGAAGGTAGGAGATGGAGGAAAGTAGGAGGGGAGAGAGAGGGAAGAGATGAAGACACAGAGAAAAAGGACGTAGAAAGGCAGAGAGAGAGAAAATAAGTGAATAGGCTGCACCACACAGACCCGTCGCACTCCAAACACTCCAAATGCACTTGAAGTGTGAGAAAAGGAGACGAAGGAAGAGGGGGGAGAGAGAGAGAAGAGAGAGAGAGAGAGAGAGAGAGAGAGAGAGAGAGAGAGAGAGGAAAGAGAGAGAGAGAGAGAGATGTGTAGCTTTGTGGTGTGTGTTTGTTTGTGTGTGTGTGTGTGTGTTCTCCGGTGCAGTACGTTGACGGACGAGAGGGGCGGACAAAAGCGAGAATTTAAAGAGGGAAGGACAAACAGACACAACACACACACACAGACAGAAACACGGACAAACATTAAGTCAGACAGACTAAAGAACAGACAGAAACCCAGGAACTCGTAGGACAGGGGAGAGAAAAAAAACGAAAAGAGAGAGAGAGCGAGATGAATAGAAATCAAGAGATAGAGAGAAAGACCACAAAACTTTCCCACCCACTTCCCTTCACCAAATGTCCCTTTAAGTCTTCCGATTAGGCACTCAGTCTTCCTCTTCCCCACACGATTTCATATCAACCATCACAGGTACTCAAACTCAGCACATGTCATCTGCTCAGACTCAATCCCGGATNATATACAAAACACATACATACATACCACACACACACATAATACATACATATAAATACATACATACGTACATGCACAGACACACATACATACATATACAAACACATACATACATACACAAACACACATAATACATACGTACACAAACACACATACATATATAAAACAAGCATACATACATACATGCACAAACACACAGACATACATGCAACAACAAATACAAACACATACTACATACGTACACAAACACACATACTCGCATTACATACACAACACACAGACACACATTTAGACAGACGTACAGTTAACTTGATAGATATTCATTAACCACAGCAGATAGCAGAGGTTTGTGCTAAAAGACATATACATTATAAATAAACATCTTAAACATGGAAGAGCCAAGCTGTAGAAGCACCGTAAGAGAGACCAGTCCGTAAAATGGTCTGTTCCTACCGGGACTTGCTACGGGGGGGGGGGGTGTCTTTCTCTACCGAATAAAACTTTCGTTTGGAGTGGATGGGGTATCTGGCAAATGAATTCTAGTGTTGCTGTCTTGTTATCTTGTTATTTTTAATGTTTTTTTTTCTGTTGTTTTATTTATGAGGGAGGGGAGGGAGGGAGAGAGAGAGAAGAGAGAGAGAGAGAGAGAGAGAGAGAGAGAGAGAGAGAGAGAGAGAGAGAGAAGAGAGAGAGAGAGAGAGAGAGAGAGAGAGAGAGAGAGAGAGAGAGAGAGAGAGAGAGAGAGAGAGAGAGAGAGAGAGAGATCTGAACTTCAATCGACTCAACAAAACCATATCTACAAAACGAGAAATATCGAAGCACGGGGAGGTTTTTAGAGTAATAACAAGCCAAAGTTAGACACCACATCCAAGTGGACGAACAAACGTGCTAAGCCAAGCCACCAGATGATGCGGCAGGGAGGCCAGGTTCCTCTTCCTTCCCCGATTTTGACCCCAACATACTAACGTCAGCATACGAGTACTCACAGCTGAGGCGACTGAGTGAGGCAAACGAAAGCGGACCCAGAACCTTGTGAATACATAACCACCGGACTTCCAACGAAGCCATGCCCAACTTCTTCAAGTATGAAAGAACAAAATCTTCGCTAATCTAACACCTTTTGGCCTAATCTAAATGAATCGTAAAAGAAGAATATAACAACGGATTTTACAACTGCAGCAATGATAATTGATTAACAATTAGCTAATCTAACCCTTTTGCCTAATCTGATCTAATCGTAAAAGAAGAAAAAATTAACAGAAGCGGATTTACAACTGCACAATGATAATGATGATAAAGATTCAATTGATTAAGAATTTCTGTGATCTGGTAACGGGAGATGAGACTTGGATAATGTTTGAACCAAGAAAATCACAGAA